GGGGGGGGGGGGGGGGACATTACTTTGTTCTCGTCTAGAATGCATGCACTTTGCTCGGCAGGGAGGACAGTATCATTTCCACGCCACACAAGGTTCGTCCTCCCATTGGCCATCAAACTCTATAACTCTTCACCCTTCAGTAAAGAGAACTGAGAACTTCCACAACACCACTATGTGCAAAATAAATACCATTACCATCATTATACACTCTGCTATATATCATGTGCAATGTTCTTCTTCTTATTAATAATGTTCTATAATAACGTGCAATTACATATCTTCCACTACGTTTTTTTGCAGTACTAAATACTCACTGTACAGTATTTTACATTAATTATGTGACCGTCTATGTTCCCTAGTTATTTAATTGCTCTTTTTACTGCACTGTTAGTGTAGAGTTTTATTTTTATGCTGCTGTGTTTATTTTATTTTTTGTAACTCTGGCTCAACAATTTCCTTCGGGATAAATAAAGTCCCATCGTATCTTATCTTATCTTTCTCTTGTTTGGTGTGAATCAACTGTTTGGATGTGGATGTGACGTGTACGGACTCTATCTTTTAATGTAGGCTCTTCCAGGATTTACAGTTCGTAGAATTGACGATTATTCATCTGCATTACATTCCCTGCTTTGACATTTTGTTGGAATAAGGTGCATGATGATTTAAGGATACAATCAATCAATCAATCAATCAATCAATCAATCAATCAATCAATGTTTATTTATATAGCCCAATATCACAAATGTTACATTTGTCTCAGTGGACTTCACAGTTTGTACAGAATATCAGTATGACAATACGACACCCTCTGTCCTTAGACCCTCACATCGTACAAGGAAACACTTCCAGAGAAAACCCACAGTTTAAAGGGGAACATGGGAGAAACCTCAGGGAGAGCAACAGAGGAGGGATCCCTCTCCCAGGACGGACAGACGTGCAATAGATGCCGTGTGTAAATTGAAAAGATAATACATTTGCAACATAGGTAGACCAAATGTTTGGAAATGCATGTGTGTATAATAGGAAGATGAATCCACGAGGATATCCATCCAGGACTTATGATCCAGGACCACAGCCACGACTCAAGATCCAGGGCTCGCGATCCAGGACACAGGACCGCAGCAACAGGCACAGCCATGACTCCGGATCCCGGCGTATATAGACACCAAAAAGAAAGAAATGTGGGGAAGCTGGGTTAATCGGAACATGAGAGTACACAGGTATAGGCAAAGAGAAGTAAGAAAGAAGTAAGATGTCCCCCGACAAACTAAGCCTATATCAGCAAAACTAGGGGCTGAATCTAATCAGCCCTAACTATAAGCTTTATCAAAAAGGAAGGTCTTAAGCGCACTCTTAAAAACGGATAGGGTGTCTGCCGTCCGAACACAAACTGGAAGCTGATTACACAAAAGTGGAGCTTGATAAGAAAAATATACAAGCGGCCGAGATGGGTTTTCTCCGCAGGGTGGCTGGCGTCTCCCTTAGGGATAAGGTGAGAAGTTCAGTCATCCGGGAGGGACTCGGAGTTGAACCGCTCCTCCTTCGCGTCGAAAGGAGCCAGTTGAGGCTTTGAATTTGAATTTAAAAGGGAGAGTAAGGGTCAGTGTCTCTGAGTTAAAATGACGGAGGCGCTGAGCCTTAACTGAACTCACTTGTTGGGATAAAATCTCCTTCACACTCTGCTGCTCGACGTCTGACTCACCACCGCCCAACCGACGCAAGCTATAGAGATCTGACAGGAAATCAGATGTAAATGACCCCTTTAGAATTACAAATTAGCTTTCCCTTCTACCCAGAGTGCCTCAGTGCATTGCAGACGGCTGGATTATTTTAGGATGGGTGGTCAATGGCGAGAACATGCACAATCCTGACATCTACATAAAACCAACATCACAGATTAACTTTAAGTGATTGGAAATGTGATGCAGATTCTGAACAGCTGAGCTCCTCAGGCGGGGGAATCCAACGTGCCTCATGAATAAATGTGATTATATTTGTAATAGATCCATGAAATGAAGATAAACTCATTGACATTGAAGCTCCTAACCTTTCCTTTGACAGCCAGTATCAATGCCTTGGGGGACTCATTCATTTACAGTAAAAATACTGAGCATTGGTTTTAAATGCTTTACAGTTTAAATCTGCTCCGTTCTCTTGGTTTATTTCCTCTGTGTCACTTCCTCCACCTCCTAAAAGGACGAAGGGAACATCTGCAGAGTGAAAGAAGACCATCTTTCTTCCCTTTTGTCACATGTTTCTTTCTCCCTTCTTTCCTATCCTCAGAGTGTGAGCTCCCAGGAAACTCTGGGTCGCAGGAAGAGCTCGGTGTGTGTGCCGCGGGTTTTGGGCCAGCTGTTCGTTCTGCTACAGTTTCAGACTCTGGCTCAGCGAATCAAAGTGATGGTCAGGAAGGCAGAGAATCTGGCAAAGCTCACACGCATCCCAGGAGCTGCAGGTAAACACTTAATAATAAGATAAGATATTTTTCTACTACTGTTACCCCCTGCAACATGGGGTTAATGATAATTATTTACAGTGGCAGTGACACAAATTTTCCTGTAAACATGAAAAAACATTTTCAGCAACTTGACAACACATGCAGCATTCAAATCAAATCAAGTTTTATTTATATAGCACATTTTCAAAACGATTTTTGGTCGAGCCAAAGTTCTGTACATGCAATAAAAACACTTTACTGCAATAGCAAACATAAGACAATAAATTACAACAGCAAATATAAAAATCAAACACAGGCAAATGTCAGGAGTCGTACTCTGCTCTGACTAGAAGGCCAGGGAGAAGAAGTGAGTCTTCAGTGAGGATTTAAAAACCCCTAGGGTCTGGGCCGACCTCACATGGAGGGGCAGACTGTTCCAGAGCCTAGGGCCAGCTGCTGCGAAGGCTCGGTGCCCTCAGGTTTTGAGCCTGGTCTTGGGCACTGCCAGCAGCAGCTGGTCAGCAGACCTTAAAGCTCTGGCTCGGGTTTAGCGATGGAGGAGTTCTGCTATATAAGCCGGAGCCAGCCCATTGAGGGCTTTGAAAACAAATAAAAGGATTTTAAAATCAATTCTGAACCGAATTGGAAGCCAGTGCAATGAGGCCAGAATTGGGGTGATGTGGTCACGCTTTTTGTGGCCAGTGAGAAGACACGCAGCTGCGTTCTGGACTAACTGCAGTTGTCTAATTGAGGCCTGGTCCATACCCACATACAGAGCATTGCAGTAATCCAGTCTCGAGGTAACAAAGGCGTTAATAACCCTTTCTAGGTCTTTAAAAGATAAAAACGACTTGGTCTTGGCCAATAGTCTTATTTAAAAAAAAAAAGCAGGGCTTGACTACAGTGCTGACCTGCTTATCAAATTTAAAAGCGCTATTGAAGGTCACTCCAAGGTTCATGACAGAGGGGAGGATGTTTTTATTGAGGGAGCCCAGAATATCAACCGGAGAGGCTGGAGGTCGGGGTCCAAAAAAGATGACCTCGGTCTTGCTCTCGTTGAGGTTGAGGAAGTTTTGGCTCAGCCAGGATTTAATCTCTGTTAAGCAGCATCAATAGCTGTAATGAGTTGACATTTGAATTGAGAGGCAGATAGATCTGTACATCGTCGGCGTAGCAGTGGAAGGGGACGTTGTGTTTTGTGAGAATTGAATCTAGGGGCAGTATGTACAGTAGAAAAAAGATGGGGCCCAGAATCGAGCCTTGGGGAACCCCACAGGTAAGAGGGGCTTTAGCAGAGGAGAAGGCATCTAGCTGCACTGAGAAGCTACGGTCTGTCAGGTAGGACCTGAACCATGCAAGGGCAGAGCCTGTGATGCCTGCGGACTGTTCGAGCCGCGACAACAGGACGCTATGGTCCACAGTGTCGAAGGCAGCTGTCAGGTCTAACAGCACCAGGACAGCTGGGCTACCTGAGTCGGCGGCTAGGAGCAGATCATTAAAAACTCTTAAAAGGGCTGTTTCAGTGCTGTGAAAGCCAGACTGAAACTTTTCATGAATGCCATGCGTGGTTAAAAAAGACTGCAGCTGGGCATAGACTACTCGCTCCAGAACTTTAGATAAAAAAGGTAGCTGGGAGAATGGAGGGGTCGATATTTTTCTTTTTAAGTAATGGCTGCTCCACGGCATGTTTGAAGGCAGCTGGGACACATCCTGAGCTAAGAGAGGCGTTTATTGTAATTAAATCAAAAAAAACATCTCTGAGAAAGGCGAGAGGGAATTGCTGTCGGAGGTGCAGTTTTTCGGCGCCGGTGCTTGACCACATCCGAGAGAGAAGAAGAGGGATACAGGCTCAAGTGGGTCGAGGACAGCATACAATGCTTGATATCATATATACTGAAATGTTTGGGTTTTGGAACTCGAGAACTGCATGAAACCGCTTTTTAATATTTACCAAAAATAAGAATGCAGATGAACATTAATAAAAAGTAATTGTGAGTTCGCCACACGCTATCTCGCGTGCACCGGAGACTCTTAAAACACAATCAAACTGTTTTAGGATCATCTTACTTCAGTATTGACAAATGTATTTTCTGGAAAATAACTGAGTTGTGTGGACATTTCGAGGCAGCATAAAAAAAGCCAATACTGACCATATCAGCGCAGTTATTTAAGCAAAAAATAGCTTATTTTTACATCCTATCATCCTCTTGTGTGTTGTGTTTTCGCCCTATATCAGGGGGGGGGGGGGGGGGGGGGGTGTTAAGATCTCAGGCACTTTAGGATGGTAGGACCCAATTGGCACGACGCCGGGAGACAGAGGTAAAGTAATTTGGTAAGATACTTTTATTTTTCCCAAGATATAGCAAAAAATGAACAACAAAAATGGTCACTATCAAATCTCTAGCTGACGATGACAAAAATGGAGAACAAAAGGAAAAAACGTCCACGTAGTGAGGATCAAACTCATCAGAACACAAAAGAGCATAGCACTGACCCATGACAAGAAGACAAAAACGAACTGACACCCTGAACAATGGGAGACAGGGGAATTTAAACACATGACAATAAGACACAGGTGGGAACAATCAGGGGCGGGACTGACGCTGATGAGCACGGGAGACACCAGAAGGGGTGACAGGTGAAAACAATCAGGAAATTAGAGACACCAGGGAAACTAACAGACAGACAGGAAAACACGGGGAGAAAGACCAGACAATACACAGGGAGGAAAACATGACCAAGGAGAACAGAAGAAACACCCACTCCCAGACACACAAACTAAAACGTGACACAACACAAGAGTCCGTGAACATATACTAACAAAAACAAATGTCCCATTTGGAGAGATAATAAGTACAGATGACGCTGCATATACTGAAACTGTACTCACCCATCACAGGAGGAACAATGGTTGACATTATCAGGTCTGTGGGGTCTCCTGTCTTATTTCCCTTGTTTTGTCTCGGCCACAGTCAGGACAGACCGGAATCCTTCTTTGGCTTGTTTTATAATACATTAGCGCCGTTTCATTTCCCCTCCTGTCTGCATCAACATCTCACTGAGCTGAATTTAAAGCCCTGCCGTCGAGGAGAGGAGGAAGCAGGAGATGGTGCAAGAGGAAAACAGCTTTAATGTTTTGGTTTCCTGCAG